GGGGGAAATAAGGATCTGTTTTCAATACATCAGCGCAAAGGTTTAAATCTTGGACACGTCCATTGTATGCGAGTGGAATGCCCAAATAGGGTCACTAAAATTCAAATAATTCCCTCACGATTTTTTCGATTCCTTAGTCAGTATTGAAGCTCAGTTTCCGCGTGAAATTCTATAGCAATGAAACGATAAATATTTCAATATAAAGAAAAACAAGAACATGGTGAAATCGAAGATGCTTATTACATTATTTTCCTGAAGAAAAAAATTGTGAAAGTTGTATTTGAAAGAGATATTTCGATATTTTGAAGGAAAAAAAAATAGTGAAAATAATTCCCTCCTGACGTTTTCGATTCTCTAGTAAGTTTAAAAGCTCAGTTTCCGAGTGAAATTTTACAGCAATGAAACTATAAATATTTCGATATAAATGAAAACAAGAGCATGGTGAAATTGAAAATGTTGCTTATTACATTATTTTCCCGAAAAAAAGTTTTGAAAGTAAACTATTTTTTGTAATTTTGAAGAAAAAAAAGTTTAGAAAAAAAAAATAATTTAAGTAATTTTGAAAAAAAAATATATTTCAATATTTCGAAAAAAATGTTAGTTACTTCTTTTTCTAATTCCTAAAAAGGCAGATTTAGAAATAAAGTGTTAAAAACAATAGCTGGTTTTTGACAGATTTATATATATATTTTTCATTTTGTAATAAAAGATTGTTTAGTGTTGTTGATTATTTTTCAAAACTTATAGTGATGATATAGTTAGGCTAAAGTATGCGTTTCCTTAGTTTTAAATAATAAGATATCGAATCGAAAATGCTTATTACATTATTTTCCTGAATTTTTTTTTTAATTATATTTGTAAGAGATATTTCGATATTTTGAAGAAAAAAATAGTGAAAATAATTCTCTCCTGACGTTCTCTATTCTCTAGTAAATTTAAAAGCTCAGTTTCCGCGTGAAATTTTACAGCAATCAAACTATAAATATTTCAATATAAATGAAAACAAGAGCATGGTAAAATTGAAAATGCTGCTTATTACATTATTTTCCTGAAAAAAAATTGTGAAAGTAAACTGTATTAAATAAAAAAGATATTTCAATATTTCGAAAAAAAAATATTAGTTGCTTTTTTTTTCTTAATATAAGTTATTTTTTCAATGGGAATTTCTAAAAAGACAGATTTAAAAATAAAGTGTTAAAAACAATAGCTTGTTTTTTAAGGATTTATGTATATATTAATTGGGAAAGTTATATTTGAAAGAGATACTTCGATATTTTGAAGGAAAAAACATAGTGAAAATAATGCTGCTTATTACATTATTTTCCTGAAAAAAAATTTTTTTGAAAGTAAACTATATTAAAAAAAAAGATATTTCAATATTTTGAAGGAAAAAAATTAGTTACTTTTTTTTCTTAAAATAAGTTATTTTCTCTATGGGAATTTCTAATTAGACAGATTTAGAAATAAGGTGTTGAAGACAATAGCTGGTTTTTGAAAGATTTATATGTATATATTAATTGTGAAAGTTATATTTGAAAGAAATATTTCGATATTTTGAAAAAAATTAGTGAAAAATAATTCCCTCCTGATGTTTTCGATTCTCTAGTAAGTCTAACAGCTCAGTTTCTGTGTGAAATTTTACAGCAATAAAACTATAAATATTTCAATATAAATGAAAACAAGAACATGGTAAAATTGAAAATGTTCCATTATTTTCCTGAAAAAAAATTTTGAAACTAAACTATATTAAAAAAAAGACATTTCAGTATTTCGAAAAAAAATATATTATTTACTTTTTTTTTATTTTCTAAAAATATTTACTATTTACTTTCTAAAAAGACAGATTTAGAAATAAAGTGTTAAAAACAATAGCTGGTTTTTGAAAGATTTATATATATATATATATTTTTTTTTTCATTTTGTAATAAAAGATTGTTTAGTGTTGTTGATTATTTTTCAAAACTTATGGCGATGATATAATTAGGCTAAAGTCTGTATCTGTTTCCTTAGTTTTGAATAATAAGATAACTGTTCTAGGCATGTTGGTATAATTAAACATGTTTTAAATAAGTTAATGTTAAATAAATAATGAAAGAGTAATTTCAGAAATTTAAATTAATACAATAAACCTTTGAGTACTATGCACAAAATATTGACCATACAGATATTTATAAGGCTAGAAAACTAAAAAAAACTAAATTATCGCTACAGTAACATTAGCGAAACATAGCTTTGGTATAAATATTACTGCAATTTAAATAAACATAAAGACTCAAGTGAATGAAATTACGAAATAGTCTGGTAAGTTTGAGATGCGCGAAAAAGTGATATGAAAGGTTAATTTTTTGCCAAAAAAGAGAGAAATAAAAAAAAGCAATATTTCTTTTATTTTTACATAAATTATAGTACTGGATTTTCAAAATACTCAGAATCTTCTATGACGGTATACAATCGAAATACAACCGCAACTGCCCCGCTTTGCCCTAGTTGGTGGAACAAAATAACAAACATTGGGCACCAACGCAATTCAGGTTCATTCAGTTCTGCAGCTAATTCTTCTGGTAAAAAAAAACAAAAACAAATAAGATCAAGAGTACGACGTTTACATATTAACTTCCTGTATTTTTTGCACAACTGAGATATCGAGTTCTAATTTTTTGAACCCCTTTACTGGAAAGTTTTCATCTTCAGAATCGTTTCAGAAAATTAAAATGAATTGTAGGGAATTAATCATTTGTAATTCTGACAGTTGAAAAAATTAGAACAATATAATAGAATATATATATATAAGAAAAGAGTATTTATA